ATGTGGCAAGTGCAACGAGTGGATTTTTTGTTTCATTTAAGTTAAAGTTTATTTGTGTGGGTGTGGTGGTGGCCCTGCACTCCAAAGGCGGAGACATGCAGATCTCTGTGAGGTCAAGGCCAGCCTGATTTACATGGTAAGTTCTAGGTCAGCTGGGGCTAAAGAGAGACCCTGTCTCAAAAATAATAATAATAATAATAAATAAGTATTTTCATTTTTAAAATGTGCTGCATGCTGTGCATGGTGGCACACACCTTTAATCCCAGCCCTGGGAAAGCAGGGGCAAGTAGATCTCTGTGAGTTAAAGACAAGCCTGATCTGCATAGTGACTTCCAGGCCAGCCAGGGATACATAGTGAGACCCTGTCTCAAAAACAAGGAAAGAAAAAATGTGTTTTGTTGTTGTTTTTATGGTGCTGGGAATTGAACTCAGGGCTGTGTGCATGCTAGTCAAGTGCTCTACCACCAGAGTCACATTCAAGCCCCCTGACTTAATTTAACTTTAATATTTTATTTATTTTTAAAATTTTATGTGTATGTGGGTATTGGCTGCATGTAGGCAGTGCACCCATGTTGTGCAATGCCCACAGAGGACAGAAGAGGCCGTCAGATCCCCTGGAACTGGAGTTACGGACAGTTGTGAGCTGCCATGTGGGTGCTGGGATTCAAACCCGGGTCTTCTGCAAGAACAACCAGTGTTCTTAACCGCTGAGCCATCTCTCCAGCCCCCCCTTAATTTCACTTTAAATAACTATATGTGACTAACAACTACTGTATGGGACAGCTCAGCTCTAAAAAGTTCTTTTAACTCATTTTACAGGGCAGAAAAAAAATGAGTAAGAAAGTGAAAATGATTTTGAAAAAGTGCCGCCGTGCAGCAGTTCAGGCGTCAAACTTGTGTTTCCTGCTTCCTGAGCCGTCTGCACCATCTTGGTGTGCTTTTCACTGTGTTTGAGGGTATTGCCTGCATATTTGTAAGTGCACCCGTGTTATGCAGTGCTTGCAGAGGTCAGCAGAGGGCGTTGGATCCTCTGGAATTGAAGTTATGGATGGTTGTAGCTGCCATGTGGATGCTGGGAACTGAACCCAGGTCCTCTGTAGGAGCAGCCAGTGCCCTTAACTGCTGAGCCATCTCTCCAACTCTCACAAACATTTTTTATTGCATTTTAAAATTTCTTTGTGTGCGTGTGGGGGGGGGCACGCACCTGCCAAGGTGCATGTGTGGAGCTCAGATGACAGCTTGCGAGAGTCAGTTCTCTTCCCTGGGGTCCCAGAGATCAAGCCTTGATAGCAAGCACCTTCACCTGCTGAGCCATCTCGCGGACATTTGCCAAAATTGCTTCATAACTTCACATTGCTCTCCGAGTCATTGTAGGGTGTGTAGGTTGCAACTGAATGTGCAGGGCACTTCTAAAGAAACTGCAAAGTTTCCCAAAGGCTCTAAAGGAAGAGGAACAAGTGGGGCTGCGGGGGAGTGGTCTGTGTTCCTTTGCAGAAAGGCTCAATATTGCAGGAGATGCCATTTCTCCACACAGATAATCTCTGGATTCAGCACAATTCCATTATGAATCCAAAATGGAACTGTAATGAAATTTTAGTATAAAAGAGTAGGCTTGGCCCACAAAATGGTACTTGCTGCCAAGCCTGGTGATCTGCATTCAAACCCCACAACCCACGTGGTGAAAGGAGAGAGCCTTTGACCTCCACATGTGTGCCATGGCATGCCTGCCCCAAAATAAATAAATAATATTTTTTAAAAAAGGACTGGCGGGGAGGCGGGGCGGGACTGGAGAGATGGCTCAGGGGTTAAGAGCACTGACTGCTCTTGCAGAGGACCCGGGTTCGATTCCCAGCACCCATGTGATGGCTGACAACCATCTATAACTCAAGCTCCAGGGGATCCCATGCCTTCTTCTGACCTCCTTGGACATTGTTATGAATGGGTGCACCTACACCCGTGCAGGCAATACACTCAAAAAATAACAAAAACTTTTTAAAATTTTTTGAAAGGGCTGGAATAATTACAACAGTTTTGAAAAAGAAGAGTTGGGTGGGGCTGAGGTGGATTTGTTCTGTCCATATCCAGGTGCACAGTAAAGGGAAAGTAATTAAAATGGGGACTGACAGGGATAGACAACAGACCAACATCAGGACATAGTCTAGGAAGGGCCATATTGAATTGCACAGCAGTAGAGGAGAGGCTGGGCCATTAATAAATATGAGAAATGGGTTATCCACCCAGAAAACCTTAACTTCATGCTATATGCAAAGATCTAAACATAGACGATGAAGGGTTGAGGAGAGGGTGTAGCTCAGGGACAGAGCTGACCTAGCATGTCTTGCTTAGCGTGCACAAGGCCCTGGATTCAGTTCTCCACACCATCAAGTTAAAAAAAAAAATAGGGGCTGTAGGGATGACTCTTTGCTTAAGAGCACTTGCAGAGTGACCATTAAGACCTCAGTTCAGATTCCAGCACCCACATAATTAGCTGGGTATGGCTTCGCATCTACCTGTAACCTCAGTGCCATGGGGAGCAGAGACAGGAGGATGGCTGGGCTTGCTGGCTGCCAGCCCAGCCTAAAAACGTGAGCCACATGTTCAGGGAAAGACTCTGCCTCAAAGGAATAAGGCACAGAGTGACAGAGGGGGACGCCGCACACTCCTCTCTGGCCTCTACACCAGCACAGGCATGTGCATCATGCTGTGAAAATTTTCTTAATGGGAAAAAAAACAACCTAAGAAAAGCTTAAAGGTCAGTAGTGGACACTGGGGAAAATAGCACATAGCGGTAGAGAACTGTTAAGAAACTAATTTTTTGGGGGGGTTCTTTTTGAGACAGGGTCTCCCTGTAGCCCCAGCTGTCCTGGAACTCACTATGTAGACCAGGCTAGCTGCCTCCCAAGTGCTGGGATTAAAAGCATGTGCCACCATGCCCGGAAGAAACCAATTTTTTAAAAAAGAGCAGAACAAAGATATTGGTACATGCCTGTAATTACACCACTTGGGAAGCTGAGGCAGGAGGATCATGAGTTTGAGCTAGCCTGGGCTATAGAGTGAAACCTTGTCTCAGGAGAAAGGGGGGAGGGAAGGAGGGAGGGAGGGAGAGAGAGAGAGAGAGAGAGAGAGAGAGAGAGAGAGAGTGAGTGTGTGTGTCTTGGTCCCAGTGTTGTAGTACTTAACAGTAAACTGTTCAATGATGACTTTAGTTCAGTAGTGGCACAAGCTTTTAGCCCCAGCACTCAGGAGGCAGAGGCAGGGAGATCTTTGTGAGATCAAGGCCAGCTTTGGCCAACCAGGGCTATATAGTGAAACCCTGTGTCAAAAAAAAAAAATTAAGAAATAGGGGTTTGAGGCAGGGGCAGGTGGATCTCTGTGAGTTCAAGGCCAGCCTGGTCTACATAGTAAGTTCCAGGACAGCTGGGGCTACAGGGAGACCCTGTCTCAAAAAAGACAAAAATAAAGAAAAAGAAATAGGGGTTTGGAGAGATGACTTAGCAGTTAAGAGCACTGACTGCTCTTGCAGAGGAACTGAACCCAGGGTTCAGTTCCAGGTGCCCACATAATAGCTAACAACTGTCTGGAACTCCAGTTCCAGAGGATCAGATACCCTCTTCTGAGTGTTGGGGCTGGAGAGATGGCTCAGCTGTTCTTGCAGAGGACCCAGGTTTGAATCCCAGCACCCACATGACAGCTAAGAACTGTCCATAACTCCAGTTCCAGGGGATCTGATGCCCTCTTCTGACCTCCTCAGGCCTTGTACAAGGGTGTACTTACATGCATGCATGCAGTACACTCATACACATAAAATAAAACAAATTTTTTAAGAAAAGAGTGCCTTCAGTCATTGCCAAGAGCAGTTGTGTCACATCGGGGGCTCATCTGACAGTTCTGGAAGCCATTCCTCACATCGGGGGCTCATCTGACAGTTCTGGAAGCCATTCCTCATAGTGCCCCAGTTTGCCTGCATGAGTGGTGGGCAGACCCGGCACACTGAATTCTGTACGCAGCCAGTGGAATGCTGGGCTCGCTCTGTGTCATGGAGAACAGAGGCTATTTTTGTTGGAGCTGAATCATTGGCCTCTCGCCAGGACGCATGCTCACTGGTGTGGTTGATGCCTCTTGCCTGCTGTAGCCATCTCTATCCGTGCTTCCAGAAAACACTTGCGAACACAGTTGTCCCAGGAGCTCCAGCCCTGTGCCAGTATTTGGGGATCTGTGCGCTCTTCTTGGGCCTCCCTTCCTGGTCTTGGGAAAGGCAGCGGCTAGGCAGGGGGTGGGGGTTTTGCTTGAAAGGAGCCTCCCTCTGTCATTGTAGCTGCTTAGTACTGTTTGAGAATCCAGTCTTTCAGGCCCTGACTAGACTAATCAGCCTAGGGGACTTGTACTAGTACAGGTCACCTCATCTGTGGTCCGATTCACTCTCTCTCTCTCCAGTCCAAGAATAGCGAGTGTCCCTGGTGTAGGGCTTGGTATGAACCTGGCACATACCTAGATTTGGCCAAGTTCCCCAGGCAAGTCCAGTGCCCATGTCAGCTTCTGGCAAGGCCATCAGGCCATCAGAGCAGGTGACCCAGTCTATCATCCTTTAGTGTGTACAGAGGGCAGCTCCAAGCAGGGCACTGTAATGTTCAACTGTGTGTGTGTGTGTGTGTGTGTGTGTGTGTGTGTGTGTGTGTGTGACATACAGACAGTACTGTGTGTGGTACCCAGGTGGACTACAGCATATGCCCTGACCCAAAACTTCATGCCACTCAACACCTTGTGAGCTGGGACTCCCTCCCTTGCTGTCATTATGCAAAGCCCCTTCTGAGAACCTTCACCTTCTAGAACCATCTAGATAGAATCAGCACTTGGCAGGGCAGTTTGAGGCAAAGGCTGCTGGTCATCTGCCTGTAGCTCTCTTCTTTTTGGGGGGTGGGGTATTGAGACAGGGTCACCCTGTAGTCCCCGCTGGCCTAGAACTCCCTATGTAGCCTAGGCTGGCCTTGATCTTACAGAGATCCACCTGCGTCTGCCTCCCAAGTGCTGGGATTAGAGGCATGCGCCACCATCCCTTGCTCTGTAGCTCTCTGCTTTACGCTTTATTTCTTTTCTTTCAGCTGCAGAGCTACTTTGCTGCATGTGAGGATGAGACTCCTGCTATCCGGAACCACGACAAGGTCCTGCAACGCCTGTGTGAGCACCTGGACCATGCGTTGCTGTACGGGTAAGCACAAGGTGTTCTAAGGGCTGGCACAGTGGGCCAAGATATGCCACAGAGAGAGATTTCTGTCCTTGTCTGTGTCACACCCTCTGTCTCCTCACCAGAGCAGACCTATCTAAGCAGGCTGCAGGCCGTCTGTACTTATTAGCCCAGTAAAGCACGGGGACAGGATGGAGTGAAAGGCAGTGGGGGCAGTGGTCACCTGTCACAGCCCCGTCAAGGCCCAGCATCACTGTCCTGTCTTCACAGATTGCAAGATCTCTCGTCTGGCTACTGGGTGCTTGTGGTACATTTTACCCGCAGAGAAGCCATCAAACAGATTGAGGTGCTGCAGCACGTCGCCACCAACCTGGGGCGCAGTGAGTAGACCAGGCACACAGGGCAGGGGTCAGCTGTGCTCTCCATGCCAGGAGCTTGGGACTCAGGTCCAGCGCAGTTCAGCCTAAGGAGGCTGTCTGCCTTGTAGTGTCCAGTGGCAGTCGGGGTTAAAATGTCCGCACCCTCCACAAAGCCTCCTTTCCCCCTGTCTGTGACAGTCTGTAGGACTGATGGAGTGAAAGGAGGCAGGATGCATGGGAAAACGGATTCCTCAGCAATCCCAGGCCAAGGGCATGAGGACTCTTGGTTTTCTTCCTGGAGGAGAATCGGGATTAGCCCAAATCATCAAGACGGCATCCTTGTGTATTAGAAGCGTGCCTCCTGCGCTCTGTTTTGGACTTTCGTGGCTAGCACAGGCTAGGGCACAGGCTAGGCTATTGGATTACCTGGTTCCTCACTCGGCCTTGTTGGGCAGATGAAAAGTTCCACCGTGGCTGAGCTTCCTCTGAGTTACTCCTGCCTTTATCTGCAGGCCGGGCCTGGCTGTACCTGGCCCTCAATGAGAATTCTTTGGAGAGCTACCTGCGGCTGTTCCAGGAGAATCTGGGTCTTCTGCAGAAGTACTACGTCAGGTGGGGGTCTAAAACACCGTGTCTCGCCTGGCCTCTAGTTCCCTGAGCCTTGACCCAAAGCCTCCTGTCACATGCAGACACCACAGCATGCCATTTCAGAGGTCTGGCCTGGCATCACATGCTGCGGACCTGACAGTGGTAGAGAGCCCTTGGAGCCTTGCTGGTAGTCTGGTGGTGGAGTCCCACCTGGACTCCTTTGAACAGTCTGGTGTCTAATCCAGCCTCAGACTGACCGAATGCCCAACATTTGTCTTCCCCTTTACTGGGGTTCCTGTAGGGACAGAGTATTTATAGCAGCCACTGAGAGCCTGATAAGCCTTATGCTACAGGCCCCTCTCTGGAGACACTGGCAAGCAGCACAGTATAGCTCAACACCCAAGAGGAGAAGGCGAGAAGCTGGAAGAAAGGGGTGGGGTGTGACTGAACCGAGTCCAGTGCCGTGCAGGGTTGGATTGTCATGGGTTCAGTTTCAGCACTGTTTGCTTGCTGGTGAGGTTTGAGCCGAGCTGGTAACCAGACCCAGACACCCCAGTGTTGCTTCTCCTGTCTCACAGGAACGCCCTGGTCTGCAGCCACGATCACCTGACTCTCTTCCTGACCTTGGTGTCTGGGCTTGAGTTCATTCGATTCGACCTGGATCTGGTGAGAGGCCTTGGCTTCTGCTGCTGGAGGGAGGCAAGGGAGAGGCAGGGGGAGGCTCCACTTCGCTCTTCAAGTCATCTGGAGCAAGTTGGGTATGGCTGAGCTTGGCAACACCTTTGTTTAGGTGAGGGATACTTCAGGATCTGTGGGATTGAGTAGAAGGATTCTTTCCTTTGGGTAGTCGTGTTGAGGACCCCCGGTTCAGGTACCTCCTTCCTGTCTCTCTACCCACCTGGGGAAAAGTACATTGCCTGAAGTATCCTAGCTCTGGACTCACCTCTGTGTTTAGGACACCAGTGTCTAGGAGGGACAAGACAGATTCATCTATGTTTCCTGGGGTCTGGCAAGTGTCCTGGGCCCTGTACTTTCCCCGCCTAGGCGACCCCTTCAAATTCTTGAGTTTCTTTTATAGTCATGTACTGTGTAGGCGCCTCCCATATCTACAGAGCACACCTTCCAAGACCCCCAAGAGATTCCAAAAAAAATGATACCAACCCCTATACATGTTATGGCTTTTCCTATGTATATATGCCTGTGATAAAATTTATGTTAGGCACAGAGGCTGGACAGGTGGCTCAGGGGTTGAGAGCATTGGCTGCTCTTGCAAAGGACCCAGGTTCAATTCCCAGCACCCATATGGCTTCTAACAACCATCCCTAATTCCAGTTCCAGGGAATCCAACGCCCTCTTCTGGCCTCTGCAGGCATTGCAGGATATGGGTGTACTCACATATATGCAGGCAAAACACTATTACACATAAAATAAAAATATAATTTATGTATAAAAAATGACATTGATTTCCCTAAGAAAAGAAAGCACAGGTGATGAAGGGGTTTGTATGACAGATCCTGTCTTCCAATTCTGATTCTGATGTCCGTGGACCCTTGTTTCCTGGCCATCCTGAGGCCTCCCACCCAACGTCTCTCTCCTCCTCTGCTCTCTCCCCAGGATGCCCCTTACTTAGACCTGGCCCCCTACATGCCTGACTATTATAAACCTCAGTACCTGCTCGACTTTGAAGACCGCCTTCCCAACTCTGTCCATGGCTCAGACAGTCTGTCCCTCAACTCCTTCAACTCTGTCACCTCCACCAACCTGGAATGGGATGACAGTGCAATTGCCCCATCTAGTGAGGGTGAGTAACCCCAGGGCAAGGGGAGGGGTAGGCCTCTGCCCTGATGTGGACTCTAAGGTCTCTTGAGCCTGCATGGCTGATATCTCTATTGACTAGTTTTGGTCTGGTGGTTGAACGGAGCTGGCTGTTTCCCAGAGTCCCTATGGTAGCTAAAAATGGATTCCAGGCACTAAAAGGCAAAACAAAGTTTTATGAATCTTACTATGCTTTTATAGAAAGCTCTAGTCGCATGCCCAGGGGCAGTTTTCTGAGCAAGGAAGGATTAGTAGCAATGTGCCCTGCACACTCTTGCCTGAGTTGCAGGGGTGAGTGTCAACTGCTTTTTGAAGGTTGTCCTGTAGCTTCTAGCCAGCGTGACTGAGCAGTGCCCAGGAGAGAGAGGCAGGCAGGTCCAAGGCGGAGGGACCCTCACAGTGCTCAAGGAGTCCTTCGAGAGCACCTGCTGGTGAGCCAAGGATGGCTGTGCCTGTTCCTCCTCTTACTACCTCAGTTCAGCAACTTGTCAGAACACCCTGGTTTTTCTCAAACCTTAGGCCTTGGTCCTCATAGAACTGACCCTTGTGCCCACTTCATGTCCTGTGGGGTGCTGATCTCATTCACTTAACTTTACCTCCAGGGAAGGAGGATCTGAGTATGCACATTCAGCTCCCATAGAATTGCATCAGAACTGAGACCTTGACCTTCCTCATTCTTGACTGCTGCTTGGGTCATGGGACCCATGTAACACTTGGCTGTCAGCAAGATTTGCATTGCGGGAGCTAGTAATGTAGCTCCGTTGGTATAGTGCTTATGTAGCACGTAGGAAGCCCTGGGTTCAGTCCCCAGTACTACATAAACCTAGGCATGGGACCAGTGAGATGGCTTAGTGGATAAAGTTGCTCAGCACACAAACATGACTATCTGAGTTCGAGCCCTGGAACCCATGGTGGAAGGAGATAATTCACTCTCGAGGGCTGTCCTCTGTTCTCCACACACACATTGTGACACATGTGAGCCTGTGCCTACACACACACACACACACACACACACACACACACACACACACCCACACACACTAATTAAAAAAAAAAAAAAACAGCCATGGTGGTGCAAACTCATAATCCCAACACTTGGGGGGTAGCGTCAGGAAGATCAGAAGTTCAAGGTCATCCTCTTATTATAGCAAGTTTGGGGCCAGCCTGGGCTACATGAGAAACCTGTCTCAAGAAACAAAAACAGATTTGCATGTTTACTGTACAAGTAAAAGATGGCCATTTGGTCTCCTTGGTCAGAGAGATAGACCTTAAGCCCCAGCCAGGCCATCTATAAATGGAACTGTCCCTCTAAGCCCAGCACTTTATAATGTAAGACTAAGCCACAAGTACAGGACCTGTGTAGCCTGTGGGGCACTGAAAGAAGGAAGGCAAGGGTTTCTTCTCTACCAGACCAGCTCTGGGGTTGAAAGGAGTGGCCCCCAGAGCTTTAGCTGGCCCCGCAGGCCATTGCTGAGCTGAGCAGCCAAACTCATAGTTAGAGAAAAGTGGGAGCACACCACCCTCTCTCATCTTCTCCCACGTCTCCCCCCCACTGCCCTCCTTCCACTGCCTGTGTTTCTAATCTTCAGTTTTGTCCCTCGTTTTTATAGATTATGATTTTGGAGATGTGTTTCCAGCAGTGCCGTCTGTACCCAGCACAGACTGGGAAGGTGGGACAGAGTCCTCTGTGACCCTCTTTTCCTGTTTTGCAATGTTTCCACGCCAAGCTTGCTGCATGTTTCAAAATCAGCTCCTATTACTTATAATAATGTCCATGATCATAATAAAGCCAAGTCTGGTGTTCTAATAGATGGAATTCTGCAGTAGGAGAACTTGGCCTTCAGCCCTAGGTGAATCCCTTCTCCCAGTAAGTGTTCCTGCTTTTATACAGAGGCCTAGGGAGTCATTAAGTGACTGTTGCAGGGACACCAGGTCACCCTTCCTGATTCTAGTCCCAGTCGATACACTAAAACCATACAGGGAACTGCACGTTGTGGGGCATGAGTGATCTGACTCAGCAGAGTTGAGACTTGTTCTAGAAAGCCATGCCTTGAACCCCAGGGGTTGTTGGCTCCTTTGGACCAGGTGAGCATCCAGGAGAAAGACAGAAGCTTGATCCTTTCAGGCCATCCTTGACAACCACCTCTACAATATTTCTGGCGTACTTTTGGAGGAGATTGAGGTCCAAGTGAGGAAACTTCCTAGGCATAGCTGAAACTTCCTATAGGGAAGGGCTGGCAAGGTGGCTCAGCAGATAAAGGTGCTTGCCACCAAGCCTAGCAAGCTGAGTTCAATTCCCAGAAGCCACATGGTGGAAGGAGAAAACCAACTCCTATAAGTTTTCCTCTGACCTACACACACGGCGCATGCACGCCTCACCCCCACAATAAATAAATATAAGATTTTCCTACAGAGAGATTTTCCTTGAAATTTTAAGGTAGATTAACCTCCCATACTGTCCACTGAGCAGCGAGGGTGGGGTAGGGGTACATTTTCTGCCTGTTATTCCAAGTCAAGGCTGGGTTTGAAAAGATAAATGTTTCCTCCTTAAAAATCTGAGGCTAGGCCGGGTGTGGTGGCACACGCCTTTAATCCCAGCACTTGGGAGGCAGAGGCAGGTGGATCTTTGTGATTTCGAAGCCAGCCTGGTCTACATAGTGAGTTCCAGGACAGCTGGGGTTACAAGGAGACCCTGTCTCAAAAAGACAAAAAAAATCTGAGGCAGTCCCAGGCCCCTTTCCCAAAGAACTCCTACCCTGGAGTAGACCCAGGGGGACCCCTTCTTGCTTGGGGATCCTCCAGAGGGATGAGTAGCAGATGGTCTGCAGTATCATTAGAGACATGATCGAGCAGTGGGTAAGAACTAATTTTTCCCGAGCGATATGAGCATGAGCATGAGCCAACTTAACTCTGAGGGTCAGAAGGTCCAGCATTGGGAGAGGTCAGTTAAGTCACTTGGCCAAAAGAATAGCATTAAACAGTTTCATTGTTTTTGTTAAGGAATTTGAAACCCAGAATTCCATCCTAACACCTCTCAGCCTCTCCTGCAGCACAATGTTGGGCGTTGGTTTTCCCCCCTGAGTCTAACCACTAACCCCCTTGCTGACATGCCTGTGACAGTCACTTGACAAGCAGGGCCTGACCTTCCCCTGCAATCCTTCAGAGCTCCCTGTAACCTGAGAACTAATTGCCCATCTTGTTCAGGCTGGGCTGGGCCCCAGGCAGGATGAGATTCATTGCAACCATGACCTCCTGCCTTCCCAGGTTCCTTGAGCACTGAAGAATTCCCTCATCCACTGTGGCAGCACACCTGGGGGAAGCTCTGTCTTCCCCTTGGGCCTGGAGGAAAGCAGGACTTGGGGCAGCTCCAAACTTGCGGCCCCGAGAGGGGCTGGGTAGAACTGTTCTATGGTCTTAGACTTCCTTATAGAACAGACAGGCATCCAACCTTGACACCTATCACATCCTGGGGTCTGCTTACTTGCCTCTAGAAACCCCTCCACAAACAACTACAAGTGCTGAAGGGAAGGAGAGGTTAGAAGAACTCGGCCTCTGTGAGATCCCTCTGTGGAGTCCAAGGCATGGTTTTCTGCCTCTGCGAACCAGGCCTCAATCCCAGGAAAGCTCAACAGTATCATAAGTCACTAGCATGTTCCTGGCAGAGCTGCAATGATTTTAAACTCTCCCTCCTGTCCTTATATCTAAAGACTCCCAGCACTTGGGAGGCTGAGGCAGGAGGATTGCTGATTGCTCCAGGCTAGTCAGAGCTCTGTTGTGAGACTTCAAAAAAAGATGAAGTGCTGTGTTAGCGCACAGCCACTGTGAGTTTCCAAGATCCACTAAGAAGTTACCTTCCAGTGGGCTGAGGCAGGCACATTCCCACTCCTTCTACATGGATAACGGCCCACAAGATATGCACACACCAGCACCTAAAGCACGTTCGGCCTGTGTCCCTTGCCATTAGCCCTCACCCAGGCAGTCACACCGCCTGGGCCTCAGCTATCTGCTCAGGCAGCTCCAATCTGCTCTGTAACGGGAAAAAGAGCCTGTGTACTTACAGTGTTCCTTGCCTGCTCCAGTGAATTGGGGTACAGGGGGTTAGAGGAGGCCAGTTAGACCAGTTCCTCACTAAGGGGCAGCAACATCTCCTGCCTTGCCCCAGGTGGAGCTGTGGGTAAGGGTGTGACCCAAAGGGTGCTGAGGTTTAAATGAAATGCAGTTTTCAGCATTACCCTAAAAAGAGTACCTGGCTCTGTGCCCCAGGAGTGCTGGCAGATTTGGGGGAGAAAAGCCAACACTGGGGCTAGAGAGATGGCTCAGTGTTTAAGAACACTGACTGCTTTTGCAGAGGACCCAGGTTCAATTCCCAGAACCCACATGGTGGCTAACAACCATCCATAACACCAGTTCCAGGGGATCTGATGCCCTCTTCTGACCTCCGTGGGCATTGCATCACATGGGTGCACTTACATACATGCAAGCAATACATTCATACACATAAAATAAAAATAAGAAAAATTGGGGCTAGAGAGATGGCTCAGCGGTTAAGAACACTGGTTGTTCTTGAAGAAGACCAGGTTCGAATCCCAGCACCCACATGGCAGCTAACAGCTGTCCATAACTCCAGTCCCAGGGGACCTGATAGCCTCTCCTGACCTCCGTGGGCATTGCACGACATGGGTGCACTTACTTTCATGCAGGCAATACACGCACACATAAAATAAAAACAAATAAAAAGCCAACATCCTCTAAAGAGCCTGTACAGCGTCTGGGGTCAGCTCCTTGAACACCTTCCTCTTTCTCTCATTTTGTCTCTCATCTCACTGTCTATGTTCTGCTGGGTCCTGTCTCCCACCCCTTCCCTGGGCGTCCCAAGGACTCTCTTCAGCCCCTTCATTTTCTCTTTCTTCTGTTCTTGCTTCTTTGTTCCCTCTTGTCTGCGGGGGGCCCTTCAAAGGACTCTGGGTATCACTCAGCATAGAGGGTGGTGTTGAAGGGCTGCTGGGGATCCCCAACCCTTAACAAGAGAGGGCTCTGAGGTTATCCTAGGGTATAGGTAGCCTATCTCCTCCCAGGGTCCTAGCCACCCTGGGAGGCATCAGAGTCACCCTGCCTTGGAGCTTAGGCCTGGAAGCTGTTTCACTTGAGGGACACTTGACCTCCTTGGCCAGATTGTAAGCTCTAAGGGCTCCCAGCAGGAGGGACGAGGATGTCCCTATCAAGAGGCTCCTAAAGCACCTGCTCTACATCCTTCAGATCAGGACTCTGCTCTTGAAAGAGGCTACCCTGGTCAGGCTTCTCTGGGAGGAACTCACCTGACACCCTGATAAGGCACCCTAGGGTCCAGCTGGCGGCTGATGGGCTGTCTGTGTCCTGTCTCCTTGCCTTTCCTTCCAGATGGAGACCTCACAGACACCATCAGTGGCTCTCGCTCCACTGCCTCGGACCTGACCAATAGCAAGGCATCCACTAAGAGCCCTACCCAGCGCCATAACCCCTTCAATGAGGAGCAGGCTGAGACCGTGTCATCATCTGACACCACCCCTGTGCATACTACCTCTCAGGAGAAGGATGAGGCCCAGGCCCCGGACCAGCCAGATACATGCACAGAACTGGAAGTCATCAGGTCAGCAATGAGGGGCCTGGGAGAAGGTGGGTCCCACCAGCTGAGCCTTGGCTCTCAGTTTTACTGCTGGGCTTCTCCCCTTGTTCCTGAGGGGCGGCGGGTATGGTGTCTGATGAGTCCTGCCCTGCCCAGAGTCTACCTTTGGCCTCATTGTAGTTCAGGGCAACATGGCCTTCCCTGAGGGCAGGAGAGCATCTTTTCTGAGACTAAGACTTGGCCCTTCCCTACCTTACACAGTTCTTTGAGCTGGGGGCTATCAGAAGGCCTGTACTCTGTACCAAGTAGAGAGACAGGTGGCAGAAACAGCACAGCTTTATTCTCCCATTCTGGAGGGCGAGGTGAGGGTGCCAGCACCCACAGTTCTGGGAGGACCCTTTCCATGCTCACGTGGCCATCTTCTCCTTGTGTATTCACACAGCAGGACAGAAAAAGCTCTTGGGGGGATGCCTCATGAGGGCACCCTCATAACTTTATCACTTCCCATAGATGCCCCTCTTGATACCACCACCTGAAGGTTAGGATTCCAGTGCATGAATTAAGGACATAAGCATCTAGTCTGGAGCAAGGTCCAAGCCCTGAAGGGGGGGGCCTTTGCAGCAGCTGTAGCTGACTTCCGGGCCATGCCTATGCCATAGGGGCAATTTGTCCAGCCCATCCAGGACCAGAAAATACCTTCAAGATGACCTTCTTCCCAGAAGAATTTGTTTTGTTTTATTTTGTTGGTGAGACATGGTCTCACTGTATCTTTATTTAGTCCAGGTTGGCCTCAAACTCACAGCCCTCTGCCTCAGCCTCCCAGTGCTGGGATTTCAGGTATGAGCCACCACGCCCCACTTCCAAGAGAGTTCTTGGAAGTCAATATAAATTTTTGAGATTTCTGTAGTTCTTGTTCAACTTTGTTCATGGGCAGAAAAGCATCTTTGTCATCTGGACAGGGATATGTAAGGGAGAGAGGTGGTGAACAAGTTGGGAACTCTTGGTCAGAGCCTTCTCATCTTGCTGACCTGCTTTGTACCCTGATCTGAGAACTCTCCACACCAAATGAAGAGATGCCCCAAATGTCTGTCACCTCTGCTGGTCTGAGACAGGGGCATTGCTCCCTAGAGTCTGGAGCCCCAAGGTCTGGGCCCAGGACACACATAAGTGCACACATACACACCCACTCACTCATTCCCTCACTCACTCACTCACATTCATTTAGACTGATTAATGACCAGGCAGCTTTAAGGGTTCAGACCTGAGGAGGCTTAGCCAAGTCCATTCTAACCAACTTAGAACCAAGGTATATGGCCAAGATGATGAGCCCAGAAACTCTGGTGCGTATCCGAGTGGTTTATTCAGGATAATACCTAATGGAAGGGTTTGTTACCTAAGAGGAGTGCTGAGCAGAGTGAGCCATCAGTCCAACTAACCTCGGCCTACATTTGTTTCCTAGACAGGTGCAGCGAGCTCAGTTGACGTTGTTTTGTTTTATAGAGAAAAAAGTCTTGCTACGTAGCTCTGGTTGGCTTAGAACTCGATATGTAGGCCAGGCTGATCTTGAACTTGGAACAATCCTTCTGCCTTTCCCTTCCAAGCCTTGGGACTGTAGGCTCATGCCAACAAGCCTGGCTTAGCTCAGTCTTTGCCTCTTTTTGTTTTGGAGATGGGGTCTGGCTGTGTAGCCCAGACTGCCTTGTGCTCACGATCTTCCTGATTCAGCCTCCTGAGTGCTGGGATTAGGCATGCACCCAGGCCTGGCTGCTACCCCACCCCATCCCTGCTAGCGCCAAGGGATACTGGGTCTGGCCTCTTCCCTTGAACTGCCCAGGACCACAGAGGCTGTGGCTGTTCCCGAGAGGGTCATACACTCCAGAGTACCTCTCTGACCTAGGCAGATTCCCTCAGTGGGATGCACAAGGGCTAACTCCCCATCACGACCATTGCAGGGTCACCAAGAAGAAGAAAATTGGCAAGAAAAAGAAAACCAAACTGGATGAGGAAGCCATGCTGCATACAACCTCCAGCCACCAGAAATGTGCCAGGCGGGGAGATGGAGACAGCCTAGTGGACAACCCAGGCCTCAGGCAGGACTTAGCAGACACCATACTCACCTCCCCCCAGGAGCAAGGGGAGGGGCCCAGCAGTACAGCGGAGAGCAGCGAGCACTCGGAGCTCTGCCAGATGGGCTTGCTGATCCCCGAGATGAAGGACACCTCCATGGAGCGCCTAGGACAGCCTCTGAGCAAGGTCATTGACCAGCTCAATGGGCAGCTGGACCCCAGCACCTGGTGCTCCCATGTTGAGCCCCCAGACCGGTCCTTTCGGATCGGCTCTCCCGGGGAGGCCCCGGAAAAACCACCATTTTGCGACTTTAGTGAGGGGCTTCCAGCCCCAATGGACTTCTACCGCTTTACCATCGAGAGTCCAAGCACTGTTGCATCAGGTGGCGGCCACCATGACCCTGCAGGGCCTGGCCAACCGCTGCATGTTCCTGGTAGCCCTGCGGCTGCTGGCCAAGAAGAAGAGGGAAGAGGAGAGGGACAGACACCTGGGCCCTTAGAGGACATACAGGGGGAGGGTCAGGAGCAAGAGCCTCAGGAAATGGACACTCAGCTGCCACTAGTCAGCCAGGAACCTGTGCCCGAGCCTGTGCTACAGCCCGAACCTGGGACCCAGGAGGCTTTTTGCCAGCTCAAGCGTGACCAGCCCAGTCCATGTCTGAGCAGCGCAGAGGACTCTGGGGTAGACGAGGGCCAGGGGAGCCCTTTGGAGATGATGCACCCCTCAGAGTTCAGGTGAGTGCTGTCTACCTGGCGCAGGATCTGCCAGTCCAGCAGGGCACATGGGCCTGACCTCCCAGTAAACAAAATGTAAATCCTGGAAGGTCTAGCCTGCTCTGAGAGGTGGAAAGGGGTATGATCTCCCCTGCCTGACCTCTGGCCCTCCCCTCCCTTGTCCCTGTCACAGAGTAGACAACAATCACTTACTCCTGCTGATGATCCACGTCTTTCGAGAAAATGAAGAGCAGTTATTTAAAGTAAGTCCCTGAATTCAGGAACCATCAAGTAACACAGCAAAAGCCAGGCAGGGTAGGCCAGAGCACCATTCAGCATGCCCTCGGGGCAAGACAGGAGTGCCTGCTGACTCCCCTCTGCTTGGGCCCTCAGATGATCCGGATGAGCACTGGGCACATGGAGGGCAACCTGCAGCTGCTGTACGTGCTGCTCACAGACTGTTACGTCTACCTACTCCGGAAAGGTGCCAGCTGCCCCAGGCCGGGGGTGGGGGGTGGTTGAGCTCCCTTCTCCCTATCCCATCCCCACTTCCAACTCCCTCTACTGTGGTCATGTAGTTATGACAAGGTATCCCATGAAAGGTGTTGCTAGCTGGGCCTGGAGCCTGCCCCCATGAGCACCCATGTCCTTCCGCCACATGGTCACATCACACTTCAGGGCAAGGAGGGGGTCTTCTCTCCGAGGGAGCTGGGTCTGAGCAAACGGGGCCAGGGGAGGGGAAGAAAGTCAGCCAGGGTAATAGGCATTGCGGTCTCCTCTCTCAGGGGCCACAGAGAAGCCATACCTGGTGGAGGAAGCCGTTTCTTACAATGAACTTGACTATGTGTCGGTGAGTGCATGCTCTGCAGTTGGTGTGCCTGCTTAGGACCCGGGCTTCTCAGGCCACCCACAGGTAGAGCTGCAGAGCAAGGTCCATCCCGGGGATGGGCACCAACATAATCCATGCAGGCTTCTATACATGTCTGGGGTTGTCCAGAGCTAAGGATGAGGACGCCTCTTCCTGCACCAGATTTCTGCTCTTCTCCCCTAACTCATGCCAGGCCCCAGACCTTGATCAGGAGCCTTCCTGGTAGTCACTCCCCTCACCCATGTGTGGTTTCTCCCTCCCCGATCCCAGCCAATTCTCAGTCTGGCCACACTGCCGCTTTGCCAGGCAGTGGCCAAGCTCTGTGTGGTTTCTGGCAGGTCGGCCTCGATCAACAGACTGTCAAGGTGGTGTGCACCAACCGCAGGAAGCAGTTTCTCTTGGACACAGCTGATGTGGCCCTGGCTGAGTGAGTATCAACCCCATACCTCAGCAGGATGGGAAGATTGGCATCTGCCACTGACCTGGCCCTGGCTGGGAGTGGAGGCTTTCGGGAAGCAGACCCAGATCTGTTCCCTCCAAAGCCTGCAGCCTGCTCAGAGAGGCAGGAAAGAGGACAGTCACTGCCTGACTCACCTCAGCACAGGTGACCTCAGCCCCTTAAGACCTAAGGAGAGGAAGGGGGCTGGTACAAGGCAGCGCCCTGTTCAGTCTCCCTTCATTGTCAGGATCTCACTCCTTGGGCACCAGGAATGGCCAAGCCTTTTCTGGGCACCATGTGATGACTGAAGGGTCTGACCACATCAGTGTCCCACTGCTGCCCTGCTTCTACTGCCCCCAGCCCCCAGTTTCTGTGACCTCTAGGCCAGGAATTCTCGAGACAAAGTCCTGCCCTCTGACCCAGGCCTCTGACCAGAAACCCTGCACAGGTTCTTCCTGGCTTCTCTGAAGTCAGCCATGGTCAAAGGCTGCCGGGAGCCACCCTATCCCAGCATCCTGACTGATGCCACCATGGAGAAGCTGGCGCTGGCCAAATTTGTGGCCCAGGAATCCAAATGTGAGGTGAGCAGCTGGGGAGGAAATGGGAATAGAGTGTCCTTCCTGGTGTTTGAGGCTGAGCGGTGTGTTTCTCAGTCACCTGGGAAGGGCTTTCCTCCTCTGGGCCCTGTCCTCTGGCCTACATGGATATGTCCCAAGGTTAAAATACCTTGTTCTCACGGTGGCTGTTCCTGGTGCTAGGCTGTGGGAGCTGAGTCCCACTCAAGTACCTGCTCAGCCAAGGCCTTATCTGCTTTGTCCTCTGTCCCCACCCCCAGGCATCCACTGTGACTGTGCACTTCTATGGGCTTGTGCACTGGGAGGACCCCATGGACGAGGCCCTGGGCCCCGTTCCCTGCCACTGCTCACCCCCCGAGGGCACCATCACCAAAGAAGGCATGCTGCACTACAAGGCGGGCACCTCCTACCTGGGCAAAGAGCACTGGAAGACCTGCTTCGTGGTGCTCAGGTGGGAGCCCCAGCAGCTCTGGGTCCCAGGATGTGTAGGTCCCTAGCAGGAAAAGCCCAAGGGAGGACACCTCCCTTCTCTATGGGGCTGTGGGTTCACCCAGGGCTGGAGAGTTTTTCCATAGGGCCAGTGATCTTTGCACTTAGGACTCCTAGGTGCCTGGGGTGAAGACCTGAGCTGGCCCTGGGAAGGACTTTCTGCTGCCACTCCCAGATTCCTTCCTCTCTCTCCCTGCCATAGAAAGCAGGCCCCTGGCTTTCATTGCTTCTGGGGTTCCCAGTCAGTTTGTGGGGGATCCCTGGGCTCTTCCTAGCTAGGCCTCACCTCACTATATTGTGACCTTGTAGCAATGGAATCCTCTACCAGTATCCTGACCGCACCGACGTCATCCCCCTGCTCTCAGTGAACATGGGGTGAGTGTTCCCGGAGAAGGGTACTGCGCAGGTGTCAGGGCTGGGTGTCCTGCCTGGAGTTCAGCTGTGGCTGAGTCTGAGGCCCAGAGCTTACTGTCCCTCTGGTAGCTCAGTCTCTGTCCCTTATCCCACCTTATCCAGCAGCCCTGACTGGTGGTGCCTTGGGGTTTGCAAGTCCTGAGGGCTGTGAGGAGCCAGGAAGGCAGGATGGAAGAGGAGGCACTCCTTGCCTGGAGATGGTCCTCTGATGAGGGAGGCAGTCCCTTCCCAGTGGGACACAGGAAATGGGAGGAGGTGCATGAGTGGGTGCTGGCTCCCAGCAGGCAGAATGAGCTGCACCTTCTTACCCGGCCATGTTTGGGTATTTGGAGGGAACTTGGGCAATTCTGGAATAAAGGCTGTTGACATGACCAGGCATGGTAGTACATTCCTCTAATCTGAGCACTGGGAGGTAGAGGCAGGAAGGTCAAAAGTTCAAGGTCATTGTCTGCTCCATAGCAAGTCCCAGGCCAGTCTGGGCTACATGAGATCCTGTCTCAAAAAAAGAAGTTGCACAGGGGGGTTGGGGCTGCAGGGAATCTGCAAGCATCCTATGAGCTAGAAGGCTCCAGTGCCCAGGACTATAGGACAGGCCCAGTGTCCTCACACCTCCACCTAACACCAGGGGCTCCCACTCCAGCCACCCCTGCCTCCTCGCTCCCATTTCACCCTCCTCCTCTGGCCCAGGGGGGAGCAGTGCGGTGGCTGCCGGAGATCCAACACCACGGATCGGCCCCACGCCTTCCAGGTCATTCTGGCTGACCGGCCCTGCCTAGAGCTGAGTACGGACAGTGAGGCTGAGATGGCTGAGTGGATGCAGCACCTCTGCCAGGCTGTGTCCAAAGGGGTGAGTGACTCTGTCTCCACCGTCCACCTATCCTGGCCCCACCCAGGAATGGACAGTGGTACCCCGAGCAGCCTGGACAGCTCCCTTCCCTCCCTTACCCTCACTGCTGAGTTAGGCCAAGGCTGCAGGGGAGTCCTGGTTCAAGCCACCCTGGAAAAACAGCCTGCCTCCCCAACCCTCTGCCCATGTCCAGGTCATCCCCCAGGGGGTGGCTCCCAGCCCCTGCATCCCCTGCTGCCTGGTGATCACCGAGGACCGCCTCTTCACATGCCACGAGGATTGCCAAACCAGCTTCTTTCGCTCCCTGGGCACAGCCAAGTTGGCCGACATCAGCGCCGTCTCCACAGAGCTGGGCAAGGAGTACTGTGTCCTGGTAAGCTGGGTGGGGGTGAGGGTGCAGGCTGTGCCCAAGGAGAGCTCCAAATGCTTACCTGGGGCCTGCTGTTCCTAGGAGTTCTCCCCGGACACCCTACAGCTGCCCCAACCATGGGTCATCTACCTGAGCTGCCCTTCCGAACTGGACCGATTCCTGACTGCCCTGAACTCCGGGTGGAAAGCCATCTACCAGGTACCTATATGCTCTTGGGATCTGGCCTGGTGTCCAGGGTTCTGGGGACAGCAGCATGCTAACCACTCTGGGTCAAACTTCGGGCCAAAGAACCAAGCCGTAACTTCAGTGAATCTGTGTCAAAGCCCACAGTCGCACTAGGAGTTGTCATTCCTGACCTCAGTTCCAGTCACAGCAGGGCTTGTGGTAGACCTGGTAGTATATGAGACAGGCAGCCTCCTTCCTTCACCGCTGAACTAGAGGGCTCCTTCACCCTGCAGACATAGGTTTTGAGCACATGCGCCCTGTGCCCTGTAGTCCTGAGGAAACTGTAGGTGAGCCTGGGATGGAGAACAGTCAAGGGCAGATGCTCTTGCCCTGTGAACTCTGGGTGGACTTGAGAGCGAGGCCTTGGGGGCCAGGGGTCAATGTGCAGAACAGGAGGGTTCTAGTGGAGTGGAAGATGTTCCCAGAGAGAGGGATGGAGGGACTCATGAGAGGGGCCTGAAGGGGTCTTCCATGGCCCCTGGAAATGGAGCCTATAGTCTTCATGCTCCCTGCTCATCCCAACACAGGTAGACCTACCCCGCAAGGCAATCCAAGAAACTTCTATCAAGCAGAAGTTTGAAGATGCCCTGAGCCTCATCCACAGTGCCTGGCAGCGGAGCGACAGCCTCTGCCGGGGCAGAGCCTCCCGGGACCCCTGGTGCTGAGGTGTGGGTGGGTGGCATTATTAGGTGGGGCAGGAAGTAGGCAGGCTGACCAGCAGGCACACTGTTGTGTGTCACTGTGCTGTTTAGGAGCCAGGCATCTACATGCCTTCTACAGTCCACTCCTGCCCTGGGGAGGCAGAATCACTAGTGTGGCTTGAGACAGAGTCTGTCCATCCAGGGATCCAGAGCGGGTACCCAGCACCCCTGGCATCCTGCTGGAATGGTAGTGACTGGAGGTCACAAGGGACAGAAGGTCTGAGCCCTGTGGGCTCTGCAGACACACGTTGTCCTCCTGGGCTATCACCTTAGTCCTTGCCATCTGCTCAGGGTGGCCATGAAAATTATAACATCCATTTAAGAGGGAGCAAAGGAGCCAGAAGGGTGACCCTCTTCCTCTCCTGGGTCAGGCGCCTGGGCAGAGGCTCAGGGCCCCGTGGGGGTCCTGAGCGCCCAACCATTCTTGTTCATTTTTGAACACACCTCGCTGCACAAGGAAGCAGGAATACTAGGTGTCTGTGCATGCCTCCTCCACATGCCTCCACCCCACGCACACTGGCCTGCCTTGTACAACCTAGGCGTGGCCTGTTGTCCTCCTTGGCCACCTGGAGGCCTTGCATGTCCACAGCCCTGCCTCTCATCGAAATCCAGTGGAGCTTGTAGGATTCAGATGGATCAGTTGGCTCCTGTTGCTAGGGGCAAAGAAGAAGGGCTGGGCTAGGGGCAGAGCGCACAAGCCTGGTGGCCACTGACATCTGATTGACCCCTGCTTGGCTGGAGCTGACCCTTCCTGAGGTCTTTGTCACAGCCCTCAGGGGAAGGAGTCAGGTAGTTTGGGTTTTGTTTTTTAAAATAAAATAGATATGTTATATTGCCAGAACTTGTCACTGACCCTTTTTGAATATGGTGAGGGTAGGGTGGTCTCTGCACCCTCTGACCCCTGCAAACATCTCCATTGTCTGTGCCCGACACTCCAACACATGGAATCAGAACAGGGTCCGCCTCCTCTGCCTCTATGGCTGCCCCAAGTCTAGAGGCCCCAGCACATACCCCCACCCCAAAAGGAGGGGCAGGCTAGAACCACAGCATCCTACCCAGGGACTTTGTTTTGGAAAAGACAAGGATGGGGCCATGGGAGCCAGGGACAGTGGGGGGACAAGGGCCACCTACTACTGGGTGAAGTGCTGTGTTGGGCACACTCTTCAGTCTTCCGAAGGCACTTCTGAGGTCAGGCCGTCTGAAGAAGGCCCTTTGCATCAGCATCCTCCAGAGTTTAGTGCCTAAGGTCAACAACAGTTTAAAAATATAAACTGAAAAATTGTAAAAAGAAAAGAAAAATTATAGAAATAGGCAGTCCTAGGCTGGGTGTGTGGTAACGCACGCCTTTAGTTCCAGTACTTGGGAGGTAGAGGCAGGCGGATCTCTGGGAGTTCAAGGCCCGCCTGGTCTACATAGGGAGTTCTAGGACAGCTGGGGCTACAGGGAGACTGTTTCAAAAAAAAAGAAATAAGCAGTCCTTAACAAATGGGGGAAAGTATAGCACCTGTAAGCTTTGGTTCTATTCAGTTTCAGGCAGTCACTGGGGATCTTTGGACACATCCTCTGCAGTTAAGGGGCTACTGAATTCCCATTGTAAATAATGAACAGGGTCAAAGCTCAAAGTGGAAGGGATTTACCAAAGGTCACGAATGATGGCACCTGGGATTCAGCTCAGCAGAGCTGGTGTAGCTCAGGAGCTGAGTTTTCGCCTGGCAGGCTCCAGGGCCAGAGTTCCATCCACAAAGGCACAGAGCCAGGATGTAGCTCAGGGGATAGAATGCCTGCCTAGACTGCACAAAGCCCTGGGTTTGAGCTCCAGCACAGCATAAAACTGTGGTGTATACCTGTAATCCCAACACTGAAAAGGGAGACAGGAGGATCATCCTAAACTACATAATTGAAGGCCATTCTGGGCTATGTGAGACTCTGTATCAGAAAAGAATGAAAAAAAGACATAAAAGTAGCCAGGAACAATTAAGGCAGAGGAAGGGAACAGCAGGAGGGTGGGGCTAAGTCCAGTGCGTGCATATATGAAGAGATCATAATGAAATCCAGTAAACTTTTATTTACATTTACTGTGTGTGTGTGACAGATGTGTGTGAAGGTTAGAGGCCAACTTTCAGGAGTCAGTTCTCTCAAAATATGGGTTCCTGGGATTGAACTCAAGTAGTCTTGGCAGCAAGCACCTCTAAATCATCTCACTGGCCCAAAATCATCTTTTTTTTTAATGAGACAGCGTCTCTCTGTAGCCCCAACTGGCCTCGATTTCACAGAGATTCCCCCTGCCTCTGCTTCTGGGTGCTGGGATTAAAGGTGTGTGCATGCTATCTGAAATTCATTTTTTGTACCATCAAACACTAGACTTGGAGGTGTATGCCTGTAATAACAGCACTCGAGAAACTGAGGCATGCAGGGATTGTCATGAGTTTGAGGCTAGCCTGGGCTGCATACTGAGTTCCAGGGCAACCACAGCTACAGTGTGAGACACTGTCTCAAACAAAACAAAACAAAAATAATCAGACCAATAGTTCTCTAGGACTCCAGAGCCCTTCTCTACTCAATCTGGTTGAAAATGAGACTGTCTTCTGTGGGAACCAGATCGGAAGACTGAGGCCTGGAAAGGGAAGGTCACAGAGGCTGTGGCAGTAGAAATGGGGCAGTTGCTTGAAGCGCCTGTGTAACCCAAGACACTTGCCACCCAGGACTCTAGCTGAAGCCAGGCAGGGACTAGAGAGAGGACAGCAAGGCGAGGGAAAGAAGGAGCCCCTCCCTCATGTGCCACTTCTTCCTAACCCTCTCTGTGCAATCCCAAGTGACCTTTCCCCCACATCCCAGGGTCCAGGCCCGCCCTGGCCAGAGGCCGCTGGGATTGGTCTGAGCTGGAGGAGGCGTGTCCAGACTCCCATAGACCCGGTCTGCTGAACAGAGCAGGTGGATCTCCAAGATAAACCAGGGGCTGCCAGTCAGCAGCAGTATTCTACAGCTGACGTGGACCTCTGTCCTCTAGACATGGCCCTGGGCCCCCTTGATTCCCAGCCCTGTGGCGGTGCAGGGGTGCAGATGGCCTAGACACCACCACCTATGCGGGTGCCATGGCCCTGACCCAGGCACAGCCAGGCCCTCAGAAAGAGGCAGTGGAGATGGTGGCTCCAGCTGTGGACCTGGTGCTAGGTGCCTCAGCCTGCTGCCTGGCCTGTGTCCTGACCAACCCCCTGGAGGTGGTGAAGACTCGGCTGCAATTGCAGGGGGAGTTACAGGCCCAGGCACCTACCCAAAGCCCTACTGGGGCTTTATGTCCTTAGCTGCTGTGGCCCAGGCAGATGGGCTGTGGGGCCTGCAGAAGGGGCTGGCGGCTGGCCTTCTCTACCAGGGCCTCATGAATGGTGTCCGTTTCTACTGCTACAGCCTGGCATGCCAGGCTGGCCTCACCCAGCAGCCAGGTGGCACCGTGGCTGCAGGAGCTGGGGCTGGGGCTCTGGGAGCCTTCGTGGGGAGCCCTGCTTACCTGGTGAGTGCCTTCTCCCTTCACTCCGTGACCCAGCTCCACTGGGGCTCCTCAGCTACTGGACTCTGTGTCCCTGGGTGGGGCAGGACAGGTTGGGAGGGGACTGTTTCCTGGAAAACTTTGGTTCTGACCTAGAATCAGTGCTAGTCCTGACCCTTGCTCCTCTGGGGTCCGTGCCCGCTGGTTCTAACCAGAGGAAGGAACAGAGTGTCAAGTGTGCACTTGACTCGAGCCTTTGCTTTTGGCCGTGCCTCCTGTGTGGCCTGGTATACAATAAGAATTAAGACTGCCACTGAGCAAGGGCTCCCGTGTCCTGGTCGGGACACTGCAGCCTTTTCATTTGGTCCTTGAATAGTGAAGGGACTAAGGCCCAAAGATCTGGTTAAAAAACTTGTTCCTTAGGTGCAAACCCGGAGTTGAGGATGTGCCTAGGGGATAGCATGCTTGCTGAGCATGCGCAAAACCCTGGGTTTGTTCCCAAGTGTCTCATAAACTAGGTTGATGGTGCAAAAATGTAATCCCAGCACTCAACAGATTGAGGCAGGAGGATCAGAAGTAAGGTCATCCTCAGCTACACTACAGACTCGAAGTCAGATGGGGCTACATAATCATTTAACCCTCAAACATCAGGTTTTGGGTCAAGGACACCATGCAGGGAACGGGCTCAAACATGCTGAGTTTATCACCCAGTCTCCAATCAAGACCTCCCATCTCCTCTGCACTCCCAGGTCAAGATGCAGCTGCAGGCCCAAACAGTAGCTGCAATGGCTATGGGGTGCCAGCATCAGCACCAGGTGAGCACCTCTCTCCTCAGAACCCCTGGGCTGTGTGGATGGCCTCCAGGGTAGGCAGGGGCTGTGACTATCTAGCAACCTGTACCCTTCCTCCCTGCAGAGCGTCCTGGGTGCCTTGGAGACCATCTGGCAGAAGCAGGGCCTGCTGGGGCTGTGGCAGGGTGTGGGTGGGCTGTGCCCCAAGTCATGGTGGGCTCAGCTGCCCAGCTGTCCACGTTCACCTCTGCCAAGGCTTGGGTACAGGAAAAACAGGTAAGGGCTGGAGACACCTGCACAGGTAGAGTGAGAGGGCCACCTGCCTCCTGCCTCTTTCACACAGGGGTGGTGACAAATAGCGTCTAATACAAAAGCTAATCTTTCTGGGCATGGTGCTGCACGCCAGCACTTGGAATATTGAGGCAGGAGGATCAGAAATTTAGGGGGGTCCTCAGCTACATAGAGTTTGAGGTCAGCTTGGACTGCAGAGAAAGGGGGGGCGGGAGAAGCAAATTAGTTGCAGCTAAGGCTAGTGGGTCTTACTTGTAATCTCAGTACTTGAAAGGTGGAGTCAGGAGGATGACAAGTTTGAGAGCAGTCCGCTGCATAAGAAGGCCCTGTCTCAACAAAAAGAAAAAAAAAAAGAAGGGAAGGAGGGACCCAGGGAGGGAGGGAAGAAACTGTAGGCTCTGCTGTCATAGTTGTGACCCAGCCTTTGTGCCCAACAGGAGTTGGGGGTCTTTAGTGAGTGCTGAGACTGGAGGAGCTCAGGGTGGTGGGGTGGAGTAGGGAATGACTAGAGAGGTCTGAATTGAACCCCAACCCCAGCCCTACCAGCTTTCATGAGGCAGAGAGGGCACCTATGGGTGGGTGGAGGGCAGCGGATGGGGTCAGCAGCCTGTGTCATCCCCACAGTGGTTCTCGGAGGACAGTTGGCTGGTAGCCCTGGCTGGAGGCATGATCAGCAGTATAGCTGTAGCTGCTGTCATGACCCCCTTTGATGTGGTCAGCACACGGCTGTACAATTAGCCAGTGGACAGAACTGGCAGGGTGAGCAGGGAACGGGGGAGTGGAGGATGTGGGGAGCTGGGAGATCCCCCCAACATACACACACACACACAGTCAAGAGTTCCATAGGCATACACAGCATATTAACAGGCATATACCCAAGCCCTTTGACACCCTGATTTTATTCTGGTCCTTGATAAAGAAATTAAGGCTCAGAGAGCAGAAGTGACTTATCTAAGTTCACCCATCTGGTAAGTAGAGGAGCCAGGATTAGAATCATGACCTTCCTGTGGCATTGCCAATCTCAAGGATGTATCGGTAACAAAGTACCCAGGAGAGCTGTGCTTTTAGCAAGAGGCTGTCTGCCTGAAGGATGAGGCCCATCTTTTTTCCACTAATGTCACAGTTCAGAGGGTCACCTTTCTGTAATCCTCCCAGCTGGGGACTGACACGTGCCCCTTCTGACACACTAACAGAAAGAAGCCTGTACACACAAACACTCACTTGTGACAGGGCCTGGGACCTCACAGCTCTCAAGGTAAACCCCCACCCCATGTCTGTCCCTAGGGCCAACTGTACAGGGGCCTTGCCGATTGCCTGGTGAAGATCTATCAACAGGAGGGCCCCCTGGCACTCTACAAGGGCCTGGGACTGGCCTATCTGCGCCTGGGCCCTCACACGATCCTCAGCATGTTCTTCTGGGATGAACTGCGGAAACTGGCAGAAAAGCCCCAATACCAGGGTACCTAGTGTCAGCCTTCATCCCACATCCTCACACAACTTGGCACTCGGTGGAAGAACTGGCCTGCTCAGTAAGGACTGGCCACCAGGAGCCGACCTGAGTCAGGTCCTGCCACAAGTCAGGAGGACTGTGGACAACTCTGATCAACCCAGCTCTAGAATCAGAGTTCTTCGTGAGCACCCTCTGCCTCCTTCTCAGTTCTGCGTTACCATGCCCCAGCACCTTGCCCATTGCCACAGTAACCCATGCATATCAGAGTCCCCATGCACAGAGCAGCTCAGCTATGCCGACTCCTCAGTTCTCCACTCATAGTGTGACCCTCCAAAATCTCTCTCCACAAAGCAGCAGAGGCTGAGGGGAGCCACAGTTCTGGTCAGAGTCACACAGCTTTGTGGTGCCAGAGCCAGACTTAGAACTCAAGCCTGGGTTCTGTACTTTTGACCAGGGCACTGCTATGCCAGGGCTGTGGGGCAACATATCCCTCAGAGGTCACTGCACATATGGGAAAATCCATGAATGGGTCACGAGGCCCTAGTGTCCCCCAGTGCCTATTTTACCAGGGCCACCCTAACAAAGTTCTAAAGTGTTGGCAACCCAAATCAACAAGAACTTATTTTCTTATTTTTTGAAGGCTGGAAGCTTGAGATCAAGGTCAAGGGTCAGCCTCTGTCTTGAACTTTATTTCATTATTTATGTTGCTCAGATCCTGGGACATGTTATATGCTCTGCCAGTGATGCACACCCCAAAGCCCAGGGCTAGCCCCTCTTGAGGCCTCTTTCCTTAGTTTGTGGGTGGCCACACTTCTCCCTGTGTTCTCACACAGCTGTCTCTGTATATTTAAGTCTGATTACCTTTTATAAGGACCCCAGTCAGACTGAGGATCTAGCTCAGTTAATAGAGTGCTTGCCTAGCATGCATGAAGCCTTGGGGTTCAACCTTATCACCACAGAGACTGGGCATAGAGGTGCATGCTTGTAATCTCAGCACTGGGGAGGCAGAGGCAGGAAGATCAAGGGTTCAGGTCATTCTTGGCTACATAGTGAGTTTGAGACCAGCCTGGGCTACATGTGATTCTGGAGAGTTGAGAGGAGAGAGAAGAGGGGGAGGGGGATGGAGAGTGAGGAAGAGAGAGAGAAAGAGGGGGAAAACCAGTCATGTTAGATGGGGCACACTGTAGGAAAACCATGTTGTTACAGAGATAGTTACCCATCTCACATACAGTCACCTCCTGAGGGAGTGGAGTTACAACTTCAGCATGTGAATCTGGAAGTATTGAATTCAGAATTATGAACCATGGTAGGTCCAGTGCCAGACCCATGGCCCTTTCTGCAGACCACAGACTCACTCCACCCCAAGTGGGCTCCTAAGACATGCACTAACCTTTATATTATGAAGGTGGACACCAGACAAGATCCCAGGCCAGACAAGACTGGCCAGGATCAAGTAGCCCCAACTACCTTCCCCACCATACCCCAAGTAGGAGAGCTGCTCCCCAGAAACAGCCTGTGCTGTTTCTCCAATAAAGTTTTCTATTTTGTTTACTTTGGTGACTCCCCTCTACCCCTGGCAACCTCTGCCACCCACCCCTGAACCTCAAACCCACAGTTCTCAGCACCTTCTGGGAAAGACACAACAGCTCCAGCCTGGCCAGGTCAGGCCTGCCACCTAGTGGACCCCAGAGGAATGAACAGCGGGAGCCAAGCCTGCACCCAACCCCTGTCGTAAGGATGATTGCAGACCCCATCTGAGTCCTCAGGGAACTCCAGACCCTCCCATTCCTTGAAACAGCACAGCCAAGACTGAGGCCTGGGAAGCTGGGCTACAAGATTTTAGAGTGACAGAGCCTGAAGTGACCTTAGACTGTGGGAGTCCCAGACCTCAGGCTGAGAGGACTAGCCTCAGGCTGTGGGGAGACCTACTTTGGGATCATGAGCTGAGAGCACTCATGCTCAAGTTGAGTGTGGGCCACACCCACATCTCAGTCTGGGATGGACAGGTGGACAGGCAGAGGTGGGCCTCCCAGAAGGCATGGTGGGCTTGAAGTATAAAGAGGGACATAGACTAGAGATAACTGCTTTACCCTTGATGCCTAAATGGGGAGCCCTCAGCAGCAGCAAGTTGCCTGCACCCGCACCCCTGGGCCCTGCAGCTGGGCCTTGAGTTTTCGAAGCAACCTGGACGCGCCAAGACTTCTGGCTCTCCGCTCCCCACCCCTCCCCCAGTCCCTAGGCCTTTGTTTCCACCTAGTCCCGCCCCTGCCCTCTACAGACACCTTTGACCGGTGATGTCATTGGGTCTGTCCCAACCCAGAGCGGGCTAGAGGCTGGGGTTGGATCCCCGAGGCTGCCATGCTCTCTCTGCCTTCCCTACTCTCCTGGCTCCCCGGCCTCCCCTCTCTGGAGTGGGGCTCCAGCCTCTTCAACAGCCTCCTGCAAGGTGAGCGCCTCCCGCACGCCCGCCTGGGCCCCGCCCCTCCCTTGGGTGGGCGGGGTGCAAGGTGGGCCCCACCCACGTGGGCCTCGCCACCTGTCCCCCTCCCCCTGCACCCTCGCACCCTCCCCACCCCTGCCATCGCACCTGCGCTCCTAACGTCCCCTCTTACCCTCCCCTTCGGCTCAGGCCTGATCGGGGCCCTTGGAGTCTCGGTTCTCAACAGCCTCCTGAAAGTTTACTTCTTCGTGGCCTGTGTCAAGTAAGTGTTCACGCCGGTGCAACTCAGCTCGGCCCAGGCAAGCAGCTGGGCCCCACGTGGACTCTGGCCTCTCTGGGGAGGGCTGGGGGGGGCGGCTGGGGCCTCGGGACCTTGTCCCCACTTCCCCACCCAGGGGCCAGACTGTGGACCTGCTCCTCTGCCCACTCCCTCTCTGCCCCCACAGTGACCCCCGGCGACAGCCTCAAAAGCAGCGGCTGCGAACGCAGTGGGCCTCGCTGGAGACCGTGCACCTGGCCGGGCTGGGCCTGTTCCTGACGGTGGTGGGGGCCCGGGTGGCCGCCCTTGTGGTGCTGGAGTTCTCCCTCCGGGCTGTGTCCACACTGCTGTCCCAGGGCAAGGTGAGACTGCAGGGAAGAAGCTAGGGGCCACTCCCAGTCCTTCTCACCCCTTGTAAAGTGGGGCCCAGTGGGAGCCCCTTCCCTCTCAGATGGAAGCAGAGGTTGCAGTTTGCTCCCTGGGGTTTTGTCTGGTCTCCATGTCAGCACAGATGCAGCCATCCTCCAGTCCCAAGAAAATAATGTGGACTGAAGATGTTGATAGAGTGCTTGCCTAGTATGCAGGAGCCCTGGATTTGATCCCCAACACTGAGCAAACAGGCCTGGTGACACATGCCTGTAATTCCAGCAGTCAAAGGGCCGGCGGCAAGGCCAGGCATGGGGACTCAACTTTTAATCCCAGCACTTGAGAGGTGAAGGCAGGTGGGTCACTGTGAAGTCAAGGCCCGCTTGATCCTCGCCTGCCTGATCCTCATAGTTCCAGGCTAGCCAGGGCTACATGTGAGACCTTGCCTCAAACAAACAAAAAATTCAAGGTTATGTTTTACCTATCGGGTTTGAGGCCAGCTTGGGATACAAGACCTTGTTTTAAAAACAGCATTAGCGCTGGAGAGATGGCTCAGCAGTTAAGAACACTGGCTGTTCTTGCAGAAGACCCAGGTTTAAGTCCCAGCACACACATGGCAGCTAACAACTGTAACTCCAGTTCCAGAGGATCTGACAGCCTCTTCTGTCCTCTGCGGGCATTGCACAACACGGGTGCACTTACCTACATGCAGGCAATACACGCATACACATAAGGGAGACCCTGTCTCAAAAAGACCAAAAAAAAAAATTTTTTTTTAAATTTAAAAACAGCATTAAGGGGACTGGAAAGATGACTCAGTGGTTAAGAGCACTGGCAGCTCTTGCAGAGGACCCAGGTTTGATTCCCAGCACCCACATGGTGGCTAACAACTGTCCATAATTCCAGTTCCAGAGGATCTGATGCCCTTTTCTGTCCTCTGTGGGCACTGCACATGGGTGCACTTACATGCATGCAATATACTCATACACATAAAAAATAAAATTAATAAATAATAAAACAGTATTAAGTACTTCGAGCACTTCAGCTCATTCCATGCCCACAGCCATGATGATTAGGGGTCTGCTGGGAAACTGAGGCTCAAAAGAGCACATGGCTTATCTGTGGCCCAACCATCAAGGGAGGGAGTTGGGTGTGAAGCCAGTTCTTCAAGGTTCTGAACCACTAGCTATTAGATGGTCAAGAGACCACCCACTATGGCCCAACCCAGGCCTTTGCTCTCTCTTTGGGACGGATTCCCAGGGTTCCTTAGGGTGCCTGTCTCCTGAAGTGCTGCTTGCCATCAACTACCTTCTCCTGCAGGGCTCCGAGGACAAGGAGAGGCTGCAGCTCTATCTGCTGTGCCAGTTCTCCCTGGGCTGCGGGCTGAGCTGCGGGCTGAACTTCCTTCAGGAAGGTGCCCCACACAGCACCCTGAACCTACTCCTGAGCCTTGGGCTGGCTGCACTGCTTGCCTTGGCTGCCCGGCGCCTCCGCAGTCACGTCTGCAGCCTCTATGAGTTGCACAGCACTCAGCGCTACTGTGGGGTCTGCCTGGGTCTGCTGGCCGGCCAGCATGGCCTGCCAAGGCTCCTGGGCCGCACTCTGGCAGTGGCCTTTGCTGTGAGTGACCTGGCGGCTGTGGCCCTCATCAACCAGGACTTCCTGAGCACATCAGAGGCGATGCGCTTCTGGATGCCGCTCACCATCTGCTACACACTGCTGGTCATCTACATGCAGGGTGAGAGCCACAGGGTGGGGCCTCCATCGGCAGTCACTCCATTGACATCCCAGGGCATCCAGTCCACTCAGTCTAGGGACAGCGGCTGTACTATGGGCACGTTGTGGGCAGCTCAGAGCAACATTCTGCCTGGTACAGGAGCCCTAAGGAGCTGGCACCTGGGTTGGTCTGAGCGGGAGCCCCAGAGAGGAGAAGGCATCAAGGGCAGGAGAGCCACATTTGCCAGAGCCCAGAGTGAGAGAGGACATGGCCACATGGAACCAGTGACAGATATCCAGTGTGGTCACTCTAAGGGCAAGGGGGTTGGGTAAAGCTAGCCAAGTTCATAAGGCCCTGGTCAATCGCTACTATGGTCAGCCAGGCTGGGAGAGTCCTAAGCAGGAAAGAGTGGGCTGGTCAGATCTGGCCTCTAGCCAGAGCCTCCTGGCTACAGACTGGGAACTGGTCAGAAGTGACAGGGCAAGGAAGGGTAGTCCAGGCAGTAAGAACAGCAAGTGCCCTGTGGTGGGGATAAGCTGGGCATGTTCAATGAGCAAAACAGGAAGTCAGAACAGCTAGTAGTGAGCAAGGGAGACTAGTTCAGAGACAGGTGAGATTGGGGAGTAGACCTGGGGCAAATCAAGCAGTACTTTGCAAGTCAAGCTATGGATTCAAATTCTACTCTAGAAGCCATAGGAAGTCCTGGCAGTGTTGTAAATAGAGGAATGACTTCATCATGTTGACATGTTTAGAAGGTCGCTTTTGCTGGTTGGTACAACTTGGAAAGGAACTGAAGCCAGGAGCCCTGGGGAAGATGGTTGGGACAGGGGTGGGACATGTATGGTAGATCAGACCAGCAGGCAGAAGGGGAAGACTGAAGGCCAGCAGGGCTCTGTCCTTGACTGGGAGAGATTTGGGGGTACTCAGAGAGAGGAGCTGGGGATGTAGGAGGGCTAAGGAAGGTGATACGGTCCCTGGGGAAGGCAGATGGGAAATGGACAGGTGCACCGGCACAGACGGTGACCACTGCGTCCTGTAGAGGAACAGCGGCAGCAGCGATTCAATCTGCAGAGCCAGGTCCAGACGGTGCTAGTGCGCATGGGTGGCCTCTTCATTCTGCTGCTGACTGTGGGTCGTTGGCTGGACATTCTGGGCATCCTTGTCTCCCTGCTGGGTGAGCTGTGGTGCCTGGCAGGTGTTCGTATCCTAATCGACCTCTGCCAGATACAGGTAGGCACCCCCATGTACCCCAGGCCCCACTCTGCTCCCAGTGTTCATGAAACCTCCAGAGACCCATGTTTGACAAGAGTTAGGGTGACCTCTGGGGCAGAAGAAGCTGGAAAGTCCTTTCTTCCATTTGTAGCCAAGCCCTACTGTCTTCTAAGATACTAGGAGTGGGAGATAGGTGCCACCCAACCTTGCCCACAGCGCACTCCAGCCTGAACCCCAGGGTCCCTGAGGGGTCAGAAGGTCCTGATCATAGCATCCCTGGGGCTAACAGAGATGGACAGATACAGGGTCTGCATCTTTTCCTCCCGACCCTCCCCCAGGGCTTTCCATCCCCAAGGCCTACAGTAACAGCATCAGCATCAGCAACAGGGGCATCAACAGCGACAGCTCCATGCCAGTCCCAGCCCTCTGCAGCTGCCCTGTCCCGAAGCACAGACTCTTCCTGACCTGCCCCTCAGGAGACTTGACGTCTGTCTCCAGCCTACACAGGCTGACCAGCAAGGTCTTGACCTCAGGATATGGCCTGGAGACTGAGTGACAGGGCTGGTCCCCACCTAGAATAAGGGACAGGCCTGAGGACCCATGGAGAAAGGGGAGGGCTAAGGCTGGGGACCTGGGAGGGTGGCGACATGGAGGGCCCTAAGTAAATCCCTCTTTCTTCTGGGTAGACAGTTTATATGTCTTGGTCAGACCTGCCTTTCTGGGCAGGGCTGGAGGATGGAGGACTGTGACCTCAGAATGGCTCCCTGTCCTCTTACCCCTCCCCGACTTCACCGTCTCCATGAACAATAAAGATAATTTTTCTGAACTCATGTTGAGAATCACAAAGACATAGAAAAAGCTGTTTCTGAGGCCTACGACTCTTCTAACAGGATCCTAGAATGTGAGCCTCAAACCTGACATAGGCTGGGTCTCCCTAAGGGCCAAGGGGAGCCTTTGAAATTTTCAGGTTCTTGTGTCCCAGAAGAAAAAATGGCACCAGGGACACATGATTAGTAGCAAAGACACAGAGAGGGTTTTATGAAAGGGAAAGCACTTTTGAGAATGGGAAAGGCAGACATTCAAAAGCCCTGGGCCATGGGGCTGAAGAGATGACTCAGCAGAAGAGATGGCTCTCCGAGAGCACTGACTGCTCTTGTACAGGACCCAGCACCCACATGGCAGCTAACAATTGTCCCTAACTCCAGTTCCAGGGGATCTGATGCCCTCTTCTGACCTTCACTGGCATTGTATGACACGGGTACATTTACATACATGCAGGCAATACACTCCTACACATAAAAATAATAATAATAGGGGGCTGGAGGGATGGCTCAGCGGGTAAGAACACTGGTTGTTCTTACAGAAGACCTGGGTTAAAATCCCAGCACCCATATGGCAGCTAACAACTGTCCGGGAATCTGACAGCCTCTTCTGACCTCTGTGGGCATTGCATACATGGGTGCACTTACCTACATGCAGGCAATACATGCATACACATAAAATAAAAATAATAAATAAAAGTTTAAAAAATAATTTTTTTTTTTTTGTCTTTTTGAAGCAGGGTCTCGCTGTAGCCCCAGCTCTCCTGGAACTCACTACGTAGACCAGGCTGGACTTGAGCTCACAGAGATCCGCCTGCCTCTGCCTCCCAAGTGCTGGAACTACAGGCGTGCATCACCACGCCCGGCTCATAAATATTTTTTTAAGTGCTGGGCCAGCTCATGCCCCATTATAGATCTTTTTCATAGCTCTGCCCTCTTGCTTTTCTCGAACATGCTGTGTTGGTTACATTGGTCCAGGTGGGGAAGGGTTGTTCAGTCTTGTGTCAACTGGCTTCTTCTGTAGGTTAATCTGCTGCTCTACCCTACCACAGGCGTCCTTACAGAGGGAGGGAGCGCTGGGATGGGGTACAGTATTGAGATAGCAAGGGATTAGGGGATAGAGATCTAGGACCCCCCCCCTGCATCTCAGGTGGATTGCACACATACCCTGTCCCAATCTGAGCTGAAGCTACTCTTGGGTCCCCAGCCTCTGACCCTGACTTGTCCAAGGTCATGTGATTCTTCCCATCTCAGCCCCATTCAGAGCCAAGATTGGGGACATCAAAAGACAAGCTGGAGTTACAGGCATTTGTGAACCACCCAACATGGCTGGGTGCTAGGAACTGAACTCCAGTTCTATACAAAACTAGCAAGTACTTTTAACTGCTGAGCCATCTCTCTGGCCCAGGTACATAGGATTTGAACAGAGCCATCCTCCACCCTACCACCATCCCAGAGTTCACATTTTGCATGCTCCCTGCTCCCCACTTCTGGCTGAATGTTCAGAGCCAGAGGATTAACAGGGCTGCCTATGAGAAATAGGCGTATCCATCCCAGGTGGCTCTGGATGTAGTTCTGGCCACCTTATGTCCCAGGCAGCCTGAGGTCCCCCTTCAGGCCTATTTTCCTGAGCCAAGCATCTAGCCCACTGGCAGTTTGGTTCTGTTGGGGCTTCACCAGAGAGGCGGCCCATCAGGAAGAGGCACCCTTTCTGTGACGGTGCCTTCCTGGGTCCCAAGAGCAGGCCCATGTGGGAATGGCAGGGAAGAGCTGAGGCCTAGATGAGGCACTTTGAGGACTCCACACCCTCTATGGGCTGGATGTGGTGATGTAGCTCAGTGGGTAGAATGTTTGCCCAGTATTCACAGAGCCCTGGGTTCCATCCCCAGTGCTACCAGGTGTGATGGTGCACATCTGTAATCTTAGCATCTGGGAAGTAGAGGCAGGAAGATCAGGGGATCTGAGTCATCCTCTGCTACATACCAAATTTGTGGACAGCCTGGTTTGCATGAGACTCTGTCTCAAAAAAGGACAAAGACCACCATGGCCACCCAAGGGCCACTGCTCAAGAGCAGGCAAGAGCTGGCTGGTGGTCCTCTACTCCCCACCCAAAGCACCCTGTTATTGGGACAAGTGGGACCCAGAGCTGGTTTGGTGGATGTCAGGTATAGCCCAAGCACAATGGGTACCCGCTCAGTACAACACCAGTACCCCTGCTGGGAGAGCTGGCTTCTGTCCCAGAACTTGCCCTGTCTGGAGGAAACAACTCAGCTGGGTGGGCATAAGGCCAGCATCCGCAAGACCCAGACGGGTTCTGGGTTCCAACAGGCCCTACTGTTTGTGCTGGAAGACAGACACACTAGCCTTGGCCCACAGTATAGCCATGAATGCCCTGGGGATAGGCTGGGAAAGAGCTGGACTCAGCTGTCCCTTCCTTTTTATGGGCACAGGGACCATTTTCCAAACAAAAATTGGGACACAGGGGATGGAATGGAATTCTTTTCTTATCAAAATTATATTGTGTCTGACAAGTGTATAAAAATTAGATTATTGGCTCAGTGATATGGTGCTTGCCTACAATGTATGAGGCCTTAGGTTCTAACATCAGTATTGGTGAAAAAGGAGGTGGGGCTGGTTATATAGTTCAGTTGGTAGAGGGCTTGCCTGGCCTACATTAGGCCCTGAGGCCCATTCCCAGCTTTACAACAACAATAACTAAAAGCAGTGAAGACTAGGGTCCATAGTGCTTGCTTAAAGTAGGGTCAGCTAGGACTGGAGAGAGACAGCCTCCCTCTCCCCAAACCCCTCCCTGGCTTTTCTGAGCTATGACTGTCCTTTGAGTTACCTGCATCCCTGTACTTAATCTATTCAGCCAGTAAGTCAACCCCAAGTGTCTGCAGATGGCCAGGCCCTGCTCACACTGAGAGGAGGCTGTGATGAGTGCTGTGCAAGGCTCAACCTCAAGGGAGACAGACAAGCCAGTGTGGCATCAAGTGACAGTGTTGCCTAGAAAAATCACGCTAGGTAAAAGGATGGAGACTGATGGGTTAGGGTAGTGAAGGGGCCAAGGAAGTTGTATCTATCAGCTATTGCTGCATAACAAATCTTTCCCAAAAGAAAATTGAGCATCTTGAGACTACATCTTCCATGAGTTAGGCATACAGTGCAGCTACAGTCAAGGGGTCAGCTGGGATTGAGGGGCCTCCCAAGGCTGGGGGCCTCCCTCAAACTCTTAAGCATGGGCTTCTGTCCACAACATAGCAATTTCTTCCCCTCAGAGCAAGGGAGGGAGAAGGAGGGGGACCTCGAAGCCTAACCCAAGACAAAGTGATATCCCACTACTTTTGCCACATTCTATTATAAGCAAGACACAGGGTCTTACACAGTGCAGAGGGCATTAACAAGGGAGTGCACCCTAGGAGCTGGGGATCTTTGGAGTGGATAAGAGCTGCCTTTCACACACAGAAGGGGACATCAGCAGAAAGTTACAAGTAAGGGTGGAAGCTGAACCAAAGGAAGAACATTCCAGGCTGAGAAGGCATGGGCAAAGGTCTGAGGTGGGCAGTGAGCCAGGAGAGATTTCAGGAGCCTCAGATCACCAAGTTGCAGGAAGACAGCCACAGGTGGCATGGCCCTGAACACTCAGAAGCAGGCAAAGGTCAGGATTTTATTCCCCTAATGGGAGCCAGTGGGTGGGGGGTTTTGCATAGGCGAGTAACAGAATCTGAGGTTCACAGTCAAAGGGTTCTTCCTGTTTTGGAACACACTGATTTGGGAGCATTTTGACTAGCAGCCCGCCCATCTTAGAGCATAGGCTCCCAGGCCAAGGGTGGATTGAAGCCAGGAGGCTGGCCTGAAGGGTCCAGGAGGTCTGAGGGACTGCCTTAGAGGTGAACTGGGTCTGGGTCACATAGGATCCTATGAGGGGTTTGGTATGTCCCCACCAGCATTGGAGAGCCACAGGAGACTGTACATAGAGGAGATGGTCAGAGGCTGACAGTGCCAGCAAGATGGACTGGCTGGAGAGTGGATTGCAGAGTAGGAGACAACTGGGTAAAATTTTTAAAAATACTTTATTTATTGTTTTTATTCCATGTGTATGAGTGTATTGGCTGCATGTATGTGAGTGCATCCATGTCATGCAATGCCTCAGAGGTCAGAAGAGGGCTTCGGATTCCCCTGGAACTGGAGTTAAGGACGGTTCATAGCCTCCATATGGATTCTGGGAATCAAACCTGGGTCTCAGTGCTCTTAACTGCTGAGCCGTCTCTCCAGCCCAAGTGGGTAAAATTTTAAGAGCCCTTTAGTGGATGGGGCGATGACAGCAAGCACCACAGCATACACTTGTAATACACTGGGAAGGTGGAGACAGGAGGATCTCTGGGCTCACTAGCCAGCTAGACTAGCCTACCTAGTGAGCTCTAGGCCAAGGAGATGCCCTGTCTCAATAATAATAATAATAAAAAAAAAAAAAGGTGGGGGGGGGAGCTGGAGAGATGGCTCAGTGGTTAAGAGCACCACCATGCCCATCTTAAAAAAAAATTTTATTTTAAAAAATCTTAGCACAGCATGGTGGCATATACCTTTAATCCCAGCACTTGAGAGTCAG